TATATATATATATATTATTATTTTTTATTAAAAAATATATATTAAGGATTTTACTCACAAAATCATTAAAAGACCGATTTTCCAAAAAAAAACCCCCTAAACCCCAGCCGGGATTTTAACCCCCCGGGCAGGGGAGTCCCTTTAAAAATCCAGCCCCCTGTGTTAGCCCTAGACCCGCTACCCCAATAAGATTTGTTCCCCAAAAGGGATATTTCCCACACCATATTAAGGTTGACGGCACCACCCCGTGACCACAAATTGGGAAGTTTTTACAGACGAAAAACTCCGCTGGTTGGGCCCTGACGAAATCTAGATCAAATCCCTTCAGCCATCAACATGAACTAGCGGACGAATCTTATTGGGCTAGCTGGTCTAGTGGGTAACCCCGACGGGCTGGAATTTTGAGACTCTCTCCGCAGGTTTAATCCCCCCCCGGGGTTTTGGTTTTTTTTTTCAAACGGTCATTCCCATTTCGAAGTCATGTTGGAAAGGCAGTGAAGGGACCGGGGCTAGATTTCGTCCGGCCCCCGCTGCCCGGAGTTTTTTCTGTAAAAACTTGAAATTTTTGGGCCCCAGTGGTGCCTATGCTAACCTTCCCAATTTGGTTTTAGAAAATTTTTACCTAATTTTCGAATTTTTATTGTGGCTAGTGGTCTAGTGGCCTTTAAAGCGACGGGGTGGAGTTTTTTAGACTCTCTGACCCCGGGTTCAAACCCGGCCCGGGGGGTTTGGTTTATATTAAGGATTATTATTGCTTTTAATAAGGAAACGCTAAATCCAAAGGGCATACATTTTCTAAAGGGAAAGGGGGGTAGCCAGGTTTTTATCTGAAGTTTAGGGAAAAGCTCCGAACCTTGGGGTCAAGGGGACCTTCCCAAAAGCATTTGACAAACCATCTTTCCCCTCCCGAATGGCCTTCGGGATATGTTTTCCCACCCGGGTATTTTTAAAGTTGATTTTTAAAAACTTTTTCAGTTTCTCCAGGCCTTTTTCAATTGCGTAAAGGGTTTAGGTTCCTGTTTGGGGACCTCCACAGGTGCCTTCATAAAATGAAGGTTCCTTTTGAATCCCTGTTTTTTTGCAGTCCCCCCCAAGTGTTAGGGTTCCTCCCAAAAACCTCTGGGGTTCATGTCGCAGGGGTTGGGAAAACTAGCAAAAAACATCGTCCCCCTCTTGTCCCCCGCAACCTTTGGGCCCGAGCGGCCCCGCGCTGCCCGGGGTCCTTCCCCCATGCTCCCTGGGCGTTTTTAGTTACGGGGGGGAAGGAAAATTTTCTTTCGGGTAAGATGGCTTTTTTAAAGGTTTTACATTACTTTTTTTCTGCACGGGAGAGGGCTCAGACCTGTCAGCACTCCCCGCATGGACCCCCGGGAAGTGTAACGTTTTTGGAGGCAGGTCCTGGGGAGTGAGGGCGGTAATGGGGGGGCCCCGTATAATTCTCCTTGTGGGGAACAGAGATTCCAATCCGCCCAAAATTCCCAGCATGGACCTTGGAGGGGAACGTGTAGGAGAACAGGGCGTTGTGTGGTGGTTAAGCGGCTTTCTTGTGCATAGAGAAGAGCTTCCAAACCTGTTAACACATCCTTCATTGAGCCTGGGGATGCAGCTGAATTAGAAGTGGTAAGAGAGCTTCTGGAAAGCTCTACGTGTCTGTCCTGTGCACTGAAGAGAGCCTCTAGGGCTTCCACTACCCCCATCATGCCTTCTGTAGGTAGGTTCTGTGTTGTGGTGTGAGACTCTTCTAGCACCAGTGGCTTCTCTTGTAAGATGTGATGATCTGCACCATCTGCAACTTCAGTGTGTGTTTGAGATGATGGTGCAAGCCATTTAGTATTATTATAGTTTAACGCAGACTGAATTTCGCCTAAGTTACTTGTAAAGTCTTCAGGACTGATATCAAGAGGAGACTGTTCAGAAGTTGCATTACTAAGTGGAGACCCGTTGTACTTCGAATTGTGAAGAATGCCTTGATTGGTTTCATATTCTGGCTCAATCGATTTTTCGAGTTCTTCTACCAACCTAGCGATTCTCAGCTTGGTATTCACAGTGTGATACTGAATATTATGTAGGATTTCCCACCGATTGCCCAGAGTTTCACGTATCTCCATAAGGAACGCCTTTGCATTTTCGGGAATGGTGTCAGCTTGGACTTGTACCAGGTACATGAGTCCCCAGATGACATAAACTATCCACAAACTCGCCCTCGTCATCGTACAAATGAGCGTTAGGTTTTTAACGTATTAGACCACCAAGTCGACTGACACCACCAACACTTCAATAACTGAGGAGCACCATATCCTCAGCATACCGCCCTTCAGACTTCTTACCCTCTGATAAGCACAGTATCACCTGATTACTGATTATTTTAGAGTGTTGGTACACTGATATGAAACACTACTGGATAAAGGGCATACTCGTGACAGGCTGGCAGGCTGGCAGGCTGGCAGGCTGTCAGTGTTATGTGACAGTGGACATTATCCTGGCGATACCAGTTATTTTTAATTTCATACCATTATTATGTATCCCGATATCTATCGTGTAACCAAAATATTACAGAAGCACATACTGTAATCGGTTCAGGAACTGAGAAATGATCTGTACCTCTATGGTAGAGCGTTCACTGTACGATAGAAACAATGCTGGTTCAACTCCCAGGACGGACGAAACATACGTACAAGTACCAACTTACTGCTAGGTGAACAGGGGCAGTAAGTTTAAGGAAACATGCCCATTGTTTCACCTGTGCCGAGGAGCGATCCCCGGTCCCTCAGAGTGAGCTGAAGTCGCTACCATCCACGCCACGAAACGAAGATCATACATTAAAACCATTAAGGGCTAAATTTTTATTATATAGATTGCTTTCTTAGGGAAAACGGAATCCAATTTGAAAAAGGAAAAAAAAACTACAAAAATTTGAATTTAAATAGTAAAGTAGCCAAAGCTACATACACTGAGAGGTGCCTCTCAGTGTATATACACTCAGTGTATATACACTCTCAGTGTATATACAGAGAGTATATATTTTAGGGATTAACTTAGTCTTGACTGGTAGTGAATAGATTATACGCAGCCATAATACCCTCGCGTAATCTAATTAAAAAAAAGTAATGTAATTACTAATTTTTTAGCGTTAAAATCACGATGTTGTCAAACTTTATTTTCCTTTTTCAAATAGTAATTTGAGTGTAATTTAAATATAAAACTGTATAAGAAAGACGTTGTTGACCACTGCCAGATTTAGATGGAGAGGCCCTAGGCTATTCCACCTGTGAGCCCCTCAAGGAAGGTTCCTTGATGTTGGTGAGGGGCTCTTGATTTAGGGAATTGGATCTGTGCTCCAGTTCCCCGAATTAAGCCTGAATGCCTTCCACATCCCCCGCCCCAGGCGCTGTATAATCCTCCGGGTTTAGCGCTTCCCCCTTGATTATAATAATAATCCACCTGTGAGGCCCCCCCCCAATCCCCGATTTTTCCTTGTATATTTGATAAAGGCCTGTAAGAAACAGTGACTCCTCATCTGTAGGCCTGTGGCTTTGTCCCACTTACAAGTGAAAGTGCAAAAGTTCATTAGTAAGTTTCAGGTTATTTGGGCATGGTGCCATAAACAGTTCAACACCTGGCTGAATTTATGGTTAGATACTGTCACAATACCTGGCTGAATTTATGGTTAGATACTGTCACAATACCTGGCTGAATTTATGGTTAGATACTGTCACAATACCTGGCTGAATTTATGGTTAGATACTGTCACAATACCTGGCTGAATTTATGGTTAGATACTGTCACAATACCTGGCTGAATTTATGGTTAGATACTGTCACAACACCTGGCTGAATTTATGGTTAGATACTGTCACAACACCTGGCTGAATTTATGGTTAGATACTGTCACAATACCTGGCAGAATTTATGGTTAGATACTGTCACAATACCTGGCTGAATTTATGGTTAGATACTGTCACAATACCTGGCTGAATTTATGTTAGATACTGTCACAATACCTGGCTGAATTTATGGTTAGATACTGTCACAACACCTGGCTGAATTTATGGTTAGATACTGTCACAATACCTGGCTGAATTTATGGTTAGATACTGTCACAACACCTGGCTGAATTTATGGTTAGATACTGTCACAATACCTGGCTGAATTTATGGTTAGATACTGTCACAATACCTGGCTGAATTTATGGTTAGATACTGTCACAATACCTGGCTGAATTTATGGTTAGATACTGTTACAACACCTGGCTGAATTTCTTGCTAGATACTGTCAGGTTAAGCAAGAAAGGAAAACATTTGTCTACCATCACGGCACACAGCAGCTCTTCTTAAACTGGCTTCATTTGCAACTAGTACAGGAAAAAAAGATTTTATCCTAAATTTATCTCTTGAAGTTTAGTTAGTTTAATATGTTTATTATGCACCCCATACCCATCCTGTGGGCGGTAGTCAATCTCTTGAAGAGAGTTCATCTAAGGCATCAGGACCAACCGCACTTCGGTCCATCTAAGGCATCAGGACCAACCGCACTTCGGTCCATCTAAGGCATCAGGACCAACCGCACTTCGGTCATTTTCTTTCCATTTCCTTACTCTTTGTCTCCTTGTGACAGTTCTCTAGCCAAGCTCATCAAAATCTTCCCTAATTTTGTTTAAAAAATTCTGAAGTGAACTGTATAAATATGCAAAAGTACTAAGTAAGTTCTGATTTTTGAATGGATTTACTGACCTTGTGAAAATGACCTAGCACACGGGTTCAAAAATGACCTAGCACACGGGTTCAAAAATGCACCATAAACACAAGTTCCAGTTCTTCCATGTTCTGCAAAAGATTAAACTTGAAGCCTAGCCTATGTCAGTCAAAAATATTATACACCTTGGCCGGAGGCTTTTCCTAGATTTTGAAGCCCTAAACCTCAGCCTGCCAAGGCTATAGGTAAGTCTGGCACTGTTGCTGACCATTACAAAGTGTAAAATTTCCGTTTGTCTTGTATACATTGTTAAATACCTGTGAATCTGGTGGTAGTAGTGGTGGTGGGGGTGGTAGTGGTGGAAAGTGCAGAGGTTGTAGCATCGTTAGCTGGTATTGAAGTAGTGACGTGTTGTTCTCTTTGTGGATAACTAACCAGTATTTTTAGTTTCTCGACAATTTTTTGAAGACCAGCATGATTGTCTCGTGACTTGAGGTAATTTGATTCAGAAGACTGTAGATGGTTGGGGAAATTGTTAGAGTAGATGTTATGGCCGCGAGCCAGTGCTTCCAGGGTTACTATTAAGGCATTTATCCCATCCTTCGGCTCGCTAGGTAATATTTTATTGACAGTTGACCTCTCAGTCGACTGGCCGAAGTATCTGTCGAAAGTTTGCGTAAGTTCTTGCAAGGCTGTTTTGAGTGTCAACATGACTTGGTGGGAGGACGAGTCTCCTTCACTAAGCGCCGCTGGTTCCACCAAATCTTTAGAATCATCAGCATTAGAGAGTTTCTTCTCTTCTACTGATCTTAGAGCAGAACGTTGCCTGCTCGAGTCACCTTCCAATACTTGCGTATTTTGTTCGAACTTACTCATGAAATTATCACGCCAACGCTTTGCTGTGCCGATGAATGCAAACAAACCTAGAATGTCACTGTCGTCCACTTGGTTTTCTTCGTGATGTGTGGCTCCCGGGGGTGATGGGGAGATGTTATTATGTGTCCCCCAGTTATTGCTGGGATCTTTAAGAATGGCTAGCAGATCTCCCAGATCCGTAATGTACTTATCAAACATATTATGAAACTGAGCTATTTCACTGACTGCAGACGTCATTGCTGTATTTTTACTGTTAGTGTGACGAATTTCACCATTTTGGTCACCTACCACGACCTTCCCCGTACTGCCATAGCCTCCATGTAACTCATTCACAAACTGGCCAATGTTGTTTTCAGTTGCAGTAAGAACGTTCCACCCTACAATGAGTATAAATGGGCCCAGTGGGCTGCAGAGCTTCATGGTGGATGAACAAGACTGAGAGATATGGAGCTGAGGTAGTACCTGCTTTTCAAGTACTGCACCCAGTGCACCCCCTCCCCAAGCCTTGCGAATTCCCTTTATATCATTACATAAACAATCCGACCTGCTTCTTTCATGTCAAATATATGTGTGATGTAGCCATTTCTGTTTTAAATGCACAAGAGCTTTAATAAGAACAAATGTATAATATTACAGTGTTAAAGTGAACAACAGATAAGGCGCAGTATCAAAGTGGAGCGAGTCTTGTCATACTTCATTATCAGCTTTCTGCTTGTTTAATAAAAATAGTATATTGATAAACTTACAACACTGTACACCTGATCAACTTGGTCAGACTATTATTATTATTATTATTATTATTATTATTATTATTATTATTATTATTATTATTATTATTATTATTATTATTATTATATGGTAGGTTTCGCGCTTCCTTTTGATTATAATATTATTATTATAGTTATAGGAAGAGCTAAACCCATAAGATTCATACAGCCCCTGGGAAATGGGAGGTAATAAGTTCAATGCTAGGAAACGGAGGGTGGCTCCAATTCCTGGGCTCAAAAGCAATTCACGTGCTTCAAGGCAACCATTCTTCAAAGATAGTTGAGACAGGCATCCTCTGGATCACCAGAGAATGTATATACACACACACACACCTGAAGGATGATTACAGGCGTCATTGACCTGATTAACCATGCTATTGCTACTGGCTGGATGCAGTACAACGTACGAACCACAGAAAGGTTGATCAGGAAGTGATTAGAGGAACTTGTCCAGTTCCCTGTTAAAGGAAGTCAGAGGTGTGTTGGTAATTCACCTTATGCACGGAGAGAGGGCGTTGAAGAGGCGGAGACCTCTGACACTCAACAAATTCTTAGTGTACCTGTCGCTTCCGTTTTTCACTGGAGGTTCGTTGCACCATCTAGCAAGTCTTTTTATCTACATGGAATGATTCCGGTGTGCAGGTTTGTTCCTTTCTCCCGTACCTTCCAAGGAATACAGTTGTAGGGATTTCAGGCATTCCCAATAGTTTAGAAGTATGTATATGAACAGTAGAAGAGAATCATCACTGGTTTAGCTTTCATTGTCTTGAAAGTTCTAACTATCCAGCTTATCATTTTCTTGGCTGTAAAAATAGTAATATTGTTGTGATCCTTGAATGTGGATCTTCTGACATTATTACTCCCTAGTCTCGCACATGAAGCTGCCCCTCACATAGCCTCTACACTTGGATCTTATGATTGTAGCATATGTGTTGTGTGTGTGTAAGACTGCTCATCATAATTACCCCTCAAGGGAGGTTCCTTGAAGCTGGTGAGGGGCTCTTGATCTAGGAATTGGATCTGTGCTCCGGTTCCCTGAATAGAGCCTGAATAGCTTCCACCCCCACATGAGCTGTATATTCCTACGGGTTTAGTACTCCCCCATGATTATAATAATCCGTCAGAGAGTTTATTCACATTATAAGATGACCCATCTCACAGCCGTGTCGTGAATTTATTTTTTTGTCCAATTTCAATGAAATTTTTACTGTGATTTTAGCAGCATTTGAAACCTGCACTGTGTTTGTAGTGACTTTTGGCCTTAAAAGATAGACAGAAAAAAATAAATGTTGCCCTATTCTATAGGGCATAAAATTCTCCCGTATCTACAAAATTGTTAAGACGTACAATGTTCTAGTTGACATTCGATGAAAGATAAAGAGCTTGATAATCTATATTTCAAAGTTGTTCGAGCGAAATTTCAATACATTCCATAATAAAAAATGTTGAATTTTTTTTTACAGGACTTTTTTTGGGAAGAAAAATGTCAATAAAAACAAAACAGTAAAAAATATCGCAAATCAACCCTGAAACTGAACAGAATCATTCCTCAATAATGTCTGCAAAAATCATGATACTCTTATAAATACTTTTCGCAAAAAAAAATTAAAATATGTCAACTTATTCCATAGTTATACATGTTTTCTGTAAAACTCTATGACATGGTGAGCCAAATCTCAGCATGTTACACCCCACCGATCACGTTGACAACCCTCAGGCTACTGAGCTGTTGTCACTCCCTGATCTTGAATTTAGTCTTCAGAAAAGTTGCCATGACCAGTATTATTTAGAATGAAATAATCATAAATATCGGAATTTTTGTAGTAAAAAAACAAAACCAAAAAAAAAAAAAAAAAAAAAACACTGATTACCATCATGTCTTCTTGATGACAGCAAAAACAAAAAAATTTACATTTTTGGAAAAACATAGAAATATGATAGAAACAAGCTGATGGCATCAACATGTTGCCAGAATTATGCACTATTTTTTGGTAAGAAATCCTTGTTTTTTTTTTTTTATAATATTTCAATTTTCCCTTTTTTTTCATTTTTTTATCGCTCCTAGGCCATTCGCGGCACCCATAATAACACTTGTCGGTCTCGGCTACTACACTGCGGTTCCTGTCTTGCCCAAACTATTTTACAAAATGGGTCATCCTATGTCCCAACACTGTCCAGTTATTGTAGATGAATGGTTCAAAGAACCGACATGATGTTAAATTAGACACATGTGCAACTCTTGGGTATCTTTATTGAGGAAACGTTTCGCCACACAGTGGCTTCATCGGTCCATACAAAGGATAAACATGAAGAACAGGAGGAGAATGAGGTAATCAGTCCCTCAACCTTGAGTCAATGTGGTCAGTCCATTAATCTATTCAAGATTGATGGACTGACCACATCTCCTGTTCTTCAAGTTTATCCTTTGTTTAGACTGATGAAGCCACTGTGTGGCGAAACGTTTCCTCAATAAAGATACCCAAGAGTTGCACATGTGTCTAATTTAACACTGTCCAGTTAACTCTAGGTCGCCACAAGATTCCTACCAGACACAAAATAAAGGTCAGGTGGATAGGAACAGAAACACAATTTATTACATTTTATTCCCTATAAGCAGAAAAAAAATCTGACAGCCTCTATAAATATCATTCGTAAAATACTGATATAAGCTATAAAAAAATAAAAAATAATGAAAAAAACGAACAAACCAAATACAGTGAAACATTAAAACATTTCAAGGTACAAATGTATTGCATTTTATAAGTTTATTTAGGTACATGTGTAACTTACCAATTACCATACATAGTAACACGTGTAATTTACCAATTATCATACAATCACATGTGTAACTTACTTAGGATAACCCAAAAAAGTTAAAAGTGACTTATTTCGACTGGGGTTATGTTCTTCTGAGAAACTATTGCAAAGTTTTTTTGGTTTACTCTCTCCAGGTAAACTCCAGGTAATATTAAATGCCCTCCAAATTAAGTTTTAATTTAAGATTATCTAAAGAAAATGGCCATTAATACAGAGGTATTTATGACCATTTTGTACAATGGTTCTGAGGAAACTACACACACACACACATACACACACACACACACACACATATAAATTATATATATATATATATATATATATATATATATATATATTATATATATATGTCTGTGTGTCTGTGTGCTCACCTAATTGTGGTTACAGGGGTCGAGACTCAGCTCCTGGCCCCGCCTCTTCACTGATCGCTACTAGGTCCTCTCCCTCTCTGCTTCCTGAGCTTTGTCATACCTCTTCTTAAAACTATGTATGGTTCCTGCCTCCACTACTTCACTTGCTAGGCTATTCCACTTGCTGACAACTCTATGACCGAAGAAATACTTCCTAACGTCCCTGTGACTCGTCTGAGTCTTCAGCTTCCAGTTGTGACCCCTTGTTTCTGTGTCCCCTCTCTGGAACATCCTGTCTCTGTCCACCTTGTCTATTCCCCGCAGTATCTTGTATGTCGTTATCATGTCTCCCCTGACCCTTCTGTCCTCCAGTGTCGTCAGTCCGATTTCCCTCAACCTTTCCTCGTACGACATTCCCTTGAGCTCTGGGACTAGCCTTGTTGCAAACCTTTGTACTTTCTCTAACTTCTTGACGTGCTTGACCAGGTGTGGGTTCCAGACTGGTGCTGCATACTCCAGTATGGGCCTAGCATACACAGTGTACAGTGTCTTGAACGATTCCTTATTAAGGTATCGGAACGCTATTCTCAGGTTTGCCAGGCGCCCGTATGCTGCAGCAGTTATTTGGTTGATGTGTGTGTGTGCGCGGCGCGCGCGCGTGTGTGTGTGTGTGTGTGTGTGTGTGTGTGTGTGTGTGTGAATGCATCCACAGAAGTACGTGGTTTTAAACAAATAATACCGTGACCAGTTGGGAATCGAACTTGGCACATTTTAGTCAGCCTCCTGGGAACATAAGTAACCTCCGGACGCCTTAGTCCACCGCGCTACCATGTTACCAAATGTTAGGTGCCCAGCAAGTACTCGCGTTAGTAAGTGTCCAGTGTACTTGTTGGCCATCTAATATTCGGTAACAGTATTGTTTATATATATATATATATATATATATATATATATAATATATATATATAATATATATATAAATAATATATATATATATATCTTTCAACACACCGGCCGTATCCCACCGAGGTGGGGTGGCCCAAAAGGAAAAACGAAAGTTTCTCCTTTCAAATTTAATAATATATACAGGAGAAGGGATTACTAGCCCCTTGCTCCCGGCATTTCAGTCGCCTCTAACGACACACATGGCTTACGGAGGAAGAATTCTGTTCCACTTCCCCATGGAGATAAGAGGAAATAAACAAGAACAAGAACTAGAAAGAAAATAGCAGAAAACCCAGAGGGGTGTGTATTTATATATATGCTTGTAAATGTATGTGTAGTGTGACCTAAGTGTAAGTAGAAGTAGCAAAACGTACCTGAAATCTTGCATGTTTATGAGACAGACAAAAGACACCAGCAATCCTACCATCATGTAAAACAATTACAGGCTTTCGTTTTACACTCACTTGGCAGAACGGTAGTACCTCCCTGGGTGGTTGCTGTCTACCAACCTACTACCTAAGTATATATATATATATATATATATATATATATATATATATATATATATATAATATATATATATATATATATATATATAATCTAAAAAGAAAAAAAAAATAGACTGATAGTACTGACGTCCCACATTATTAAAATCTTTGAGATTTTGAAAACTAAGATTGTTAAACGTATTAAATCACAACATTTGCACAACCCGGGGCAACGTGGGTTTAAAGCATAATTGGTGGACCATTGCGACATGGTCTTGGATGTATAGGAGGACCTGGCTTATGTACCAGGTTAGGTTCCTGGCTACCACAGTAAAGTGAAACTCGCTGTAAAGTGAAATATAACCTTTTTCACTTTTAAACTCATATAAAAGCCTGATATCGTTTACACTGTTATATATTAAGTGAGCAATAGAGCATATACAGTACACAGTCATAGCACTGTATAATGTTTTGCATATGACTAGAATTAATGTGAGTGGCATCAAGTGACGACAAAGCAAATTTTCAAGATGATACCGACCAGGTCTTCCGGTGGGCCAAAGGAACCACAGATTTCAGTTATGGAAAAAATGGTGAATAACAAACACAGAAGAGTAGAAAACAGAAATCATTCAGTAAAGTGGAAGAGGACTGAGTGACTAAGAAGCTATAATATCAGATATCAGATCTTATAACAACAGAGTTGTTATCACAAAAGCAAGGAAACCGATAGACTGGATATGCATTAAGATCACAGTAAACAGTGATATCGCAATATGCAGAACAACCACTGTGAAAAAATAGTGAGGTGTTGTAAGGTGACGGTGAGGTGTAGTCTCATCCTTATACGCCTTCCTGTTGATCTTTTATTTTTATAGTTCCTTGACGATGTAAGAAGTCACGAAATCCCTTGGAATTTCACTATTTTTTCACAGTGGTTGTTCTGCAGACTGGATATGTACAACCTTCAAAACAAGATATGGCAAACCAATGATACCCTCTAAGTCACATGTTTGCTGATGACTGAATCACTGCTACATACAAACAACTTCTTAAGGTAGGCAAACAGAACTGAAAAATGTACAGAGATCCCGCACTGCCTGAATAAACTCAGTCATATACCTAAATTATCTGAAACATCTGAAGTCCCTTGAATTGTACTCGGCGGAATATAGAAGACAAAAATATATAATTTAAAGCTGGAAAATTCTGGAATGATAAGTCCCAAATCTGCACAACTAAATTATTCCCTACGAGAGGAAGATTCTCTGCAGATAGTTCAGAATAGCTTCAGTGAAAAGAAGGGTTGCAGTAAGTACACGAAGTAACGAAGTAAGTGTAAAGAGACCAAGACTCTTCATCATCATACCTTCTTATACACGGGGAAGTTACCAACACATCCCTAGATATTTTCAAAAGCGTAGGGGTTAGGTTAGTTTCTGATCAGCCAGGCTGTGGAAGCTACACGGGACTGCTTGTCGCTAGTACCAACATTATTATTATTATAATCAAGGGGAAGCGCTAAACCCGTAGGATTATACAGCGCCTGGGGGGGAATGTGGAAGGCATCAGGCTTAATTCGGGGAACTGGAGCACAGATCCAATTCCCTAAACCAAGAGCCCCTCACCAATATCAAGGAACCTTCCCTGAGGGGCTAGTACCAACAGCCTGGTTGATCAGGACAGCAACCCAGGGACTGGGCCAGAGTGGTGGTGACTACTGAAGTCGTCTTCAAGTCAACTTTGCAATAACCCAATAAATTTCAAAGTTCTATTTGATTCAGTCTTCATTATTATCGTTACACTGTGTAATATATTTTCAACCTTCTCTTAATTTTATACACATTAAGGTTCCAAGATTTCCTTCATATTCCTTGTTTTTTTATTACATTATTTCCGGTTTTACTATCAAAACTAGATACTTAACACTATGAAACAACATTGACCTAATTACCATTTTATAAATTTAGAGCAAGAAATGCCTTGCATACTAATGACTTTCTTTTATTCCCACCGCATCAAGAAGAAAAAATTTTCATTTGTACATCTATCACGAAGGATAGTTTTCCCTGTAATGTTCCATCACACAGGATGGGTTTTCCCTGTAATGTTCCATCACACAGGATGGGTTTTCCCTGTAATGTTCCATCACACAGGATGGGTTTTCCCTGTAATGTTCCATCACACAGGATGGGTTTTCCCTTATACTCTATCACACAGAATAATTCTGTCTTACTCTTATACTAAATCATACATTGCAATACAATTAAAAAAAAACCTTAACGCACAGGTAATACATTTCTTATGAAGTGGTAAGAGTATTTATATATACACACAAACATCTGAACTGTCGTATCTGAGCACTTCTGGCAAGAGTGATAGTGTGAATGATGGTGAAAGTGTTTTTCGGGTCACTCAGACGGCCAGTGTTAAAAAATATATACACATACATGCATGCATATATACATAAGAGAGAGGACTGGGTAGACTACAAGAAGGCGTTTGATACAGTACCCCACGAGATTGGGTCAAAAACTTCAGGTGTTGGCAGAAATAACAGGGAACATACTCTGGTGGACCACATAGTGCCTCAGAGGAAGAAGGCAAAGACTGATTGTCCAGGAAGAGACGCCAGAAAGGAGAAGTGTAACAAGTGAGGCGCTGCAAGGATTGGTATTTGGGCAAGTACTGCTTCTGGTTTATGTGAATGATATTCCAAACAGGACTGAGTCAAATGCATTCCTGTTTGCTGTTGATGTAAAACTAACGGGAAGAAAAAAAAAAACAGACGAGGACAGGCAAAGGCTGCAAATGGATCCGGACAAACTGCAAGATTGATCAGATTAGTGGTTGTTGGAATTCAGCAAATGCAAGGTCATGATGATTGGGGAAGGGAAAAGACGACCAGAATTAGTGTATAGTTTTGGGGGACAGAGATTGAAGACCTCACTCAAAGAAAAAGACTCAGGGGTGAGCATATTGCCTAGCATGTCGCCAGAGGTTCACATCAACCGAATAACCTCTGCAGCCAATGTTCGCCTGGCACATCTAAGAATGGCCTTAGGAATCTCAACAGTCTTTCCAGGCACGTTATACAAAATATGTCAGGGCCACTTTGAAGTAACCAGCACCAGTCTGAAACCCACACCTGAGGACGTATGTTAAGAAACTGGAGAAAATGCAGAAGTGTGCAAGAAGGCTTGTTTTTTAGTTAAAGGCTATGAGCTATAAAAAGAGGCAATGGAACTGAATCTAACGTCATTGGAGGACAGAAGAACCAAGGAAGATATGATAACAAACAAAATACTCAGGAAAGCGATAGGGTAAACAGGCAAAGGCTGTTTCAGAGCGAGAAACAGAAATACGAGGACACAGTTGAAAGTTAAAGGCACAGATGAGTCACAGGGATGACAGAAAGCATTTTCTCAGTTTCAGGGTGGTAGGAAAAATGGAATAATCTCGGTGAAGAAATGGTAGAGGCAGAGACTCCATATAGTTTTAAGAGAAGGAACAATAAGGTACACCAGGTTAGGAGGAAGTGATTCTGGCAAGCAGCATGTTGAGAGCCGGGGCCAAGAGCTAAGACTCGACACCTACAGCGACAGATGTAGGTGAGTACATACACACATATACATAAAATGGTTTTGTCATACTCCATCATACAGTGTGGTTTTCCTATCATACTCCATCACATAAGAGGTCTGCTGTCATACTGCATCACAGGATGGTTTTCCTGTCGTACTACAACAAACAGGATGAGTTTCTAATGAAGTATTTGAATCAGTAGACTTGATCGTGTTACCAGAGGTGGAAAACCTCACTGTAAAATAAACTCCTCGGATAACTGAAAAAGAAGATACACATTAAACAGGGGCCGCACGAAGGTAAGCTGAAACACACCAAAGTTCTATCAGTACCCCCTCAAAATAATAATAATAATAATAATAATAATAATAATAATAATAATAATAATAATAATAATAATAATAATGCTACAAAACAAGTCCCCTGGTCCCCTATTCCAACCAGACAGTCACTCCTAAAGCTCTCCTTTACAAAATTTCTCGATTCCTCCCGCATTAAAAGTATAGTATCTTGCCTCGTGATTATTATAATTACTATTACGGTTATTATTACTAATTATTATTACTAATTATTATTATTATGGGAAGCACTAAGCTCAAAAGGGTCACATAGTTGCGTGCTAAGCTTCAACAAGTGGGTAAAGAATAAAATGGTATAAAATACCGACAGGTTGTTTAGGTAAGACACATATGCAACAGTTAGGTATCTTTATTTCGAAACGTTTCGCCTACACAGTAGGCTTCTTCAGTCGAGTACAGCTGTACTCGACTGAACAAGTGGGTAAAGGCTTGAATTACACAAAATTTCAGATTGGTTGGTATGACTTAGCTCACGAGTACCTAACCCATGACCAAGTGATACTAAGTGAATACAGATCACCAATGGATTGCCCAATATGTCACCATGCTCCCTCCCCAGACTGTCGAAATCATCACAATCATCATCAGTCCTATTAGGCATCAGTATGACTTCAAAAGATGTCAACACCCTGGTTTTACTTTACATATGGATGTGCTAGCAACACAACAGATGAAAGAAATTCATGGGGTTTTTATGCTATTTACTTATAGATGCAGTCTCGTATTCCCATTATTTGGTTCCCGTACCCCCATTATCTGGTTCCCATACTCCTGTTATTTGGTTCCCATAACCCAAAGGGGTTTGGATACCCCCGGTTGAGAACCCCTGACTTAGTCCCTTAACTAGGTTGGTAGCACAATCAGTTCACACACTGAGTGTCCGTGGTTCGATACCCAACACGGATGGAAACACTGGGCATGTTTCCTTAAGACACCTATGTCATTGTTTACCTAGCATTAAGTAGATACCGTGATGTTAATAGCTTTACACCTACTGTCCCTGTTCACCTAGCAGTAACTAGGTATCTGGGCGTTACTGGTATGGGTGGCATCCTGGGGGACATGACTCAAGGACCACAATGGAAACAAGACAGTCCTCGATGACACACTGACTTTCTTGTGTTATCCTGGATGGCTAACCCTCCGGGTTAAAAATCTGAACAAATCTTGTCTTAACAGTACTTGGTGAACGCTTGACAATCACGTTTGATCCAAGGAAGAGTCGAGTAGCTCCAGTTCCTTGGATTAAGAACAAGGTACGGGGATACCATATAGGAATAAATAAGATTAAAATAAAATTTACATTAATTTACCTAATTATTTTTAAATGAGGTGCCTGGAGAGAGAAGAGTGGGTGGGGCGGGTGAAGGTACTGAGCAGGTTGTCCAGGTGGTCTGGCAGGTGGTAAAGACGACCAGGAGTCACGTGATCCAACACAGCGTACTCAGGGGTCTCCTTAAACCTTAAGAAATACACATTACTCGTTACCTCTGCTACTAGTTACTGCCTGTGTGTAAGGCCCCTGAGGGCACGCTGATTACCCCTAATCTAAGTGAATTCCACATATTATTTTTCTAAATATTTATGTACCGGGCACCCCGGACCAATGTATCGGCTTAACCCCCCCCCCCCCCCCCCACTGACAGGCCCTGTCTGTGTGTAATTATGGGATAGCGGTGGATGAGGTGCACAAACTCGGACACTCTACTGGGAGCCGCTGCCGGGTCGCTACGTGGAGAAGACTCAGGCCAGGACCCGTCCTGGTGACCCTACATGAACATGTAATTATGGTCTCTGTTTGGAATTACCTGTTTGTTATATTTACTGGGAAGAGCTGAACCCATAGGTCTCGCACAACGCCTGGGCAAGGACAGGAAATCAGATTTGAGTCAAGGGAGAGGGTACCTTGAATTTACTGAACCAAAGCACTTCATGAGCATCAAGGTATCTCCTTTGAGATCAGTCTCATAGCTCGGTTGGTAGTTCATTTAGCTCACACTGAGTGTCCGTGGTTCGATCCCCGGTACAGGTGGAAACAATGGGCGTGTTTCTTTAAGATACATGTTGTCCTTGTTCACATAACAGTAAGTAGGTACCTGGGTGTTAATCGACTGGTGTGGGTAGCATCCTGGGGGACAAAACCTAAGTTGCCCGAGATGCTCTGCATAACAAAGGGTTTTCTATATAGTATGTCATTGACGTCAGCTATGGTCTGTATAAGTTGTATCATGTACCTGTAAAGCTAAAGGTTATTATACTGGTAATTTTGGAACACCTAGTCTAGAAATATAATCTTACTTAGAAGTGATGCTGAATCAAAAATACTCAGAGAGAGTAAGTTTTCTTTGTTTTACCTGCTGTGGGATTTCTCAAGTACTTGACAATATCCCACAGTGGGCAAAACATCCTTAAATATAGGCTTTCTAAATTTGTGTCTCTGATTCAAAATTTCTTGTCTTTCTCAATTTCCTACTTGGTAACTTATAATGATCAAAAGTAAAGGCCTATATATAAGCACAAACAGAAACAATTTACATTTTTTTTAAAGAACATTGACACAGTGTTTCTTTTTTCCAGAAATTTCACTGGACAGTAATGTTAAGAAGAAAAGAGAATACTCTTACTTTCAAAAATATATGAAAAGTCATTTTGCTTACTTTATCTGGTAAAGACGATTGTAATCTTGAGAGAAGAAAGATGATTGCATCTTATGCAGGAAGTCAAGGAAAAGAAAGTGGAAGACCTCTTGCTCAGCACTGTCATTTACTACTGAGTCTATCATCGTTTGATCACCTTGTCCTTGTGTAACACTTCCACTCTCGTCTGTTGCCGTCTTGTCACATCTCAATTCAACTTTCTCTTGGACAGTTTTCATTCCATTACATTTTCTTGTGACTCTTGCTCTTCAGTTGTTTTTTTATCATCTGTATCAATTTTTGCGTCTTGGTCTCGTAGCTTCAGAATGGAAAGGTGGTGTTGGTCACTGGTGTTGGAGTAATTATATCCCGTGATACCTGATGAGCACATCAGGTGTTTGAAAGCAGGAAGAGACCTACTCTTGAAGTCTTCTTTATCAGGATAACTTTGACTTGAAGTTGAGAGCCTCTGAGGGCTTAGTCCTGTATGAGCCTTGGTAGGGCAGGAGTCTAAACCCTCAGAATCCTTCTTATTCATAATCCAGACACATGTATTTTCTGACTTCGCATGTCCAACCGTACAACATCCAGTGGGAAAGACAAAATCAGGGTTCCAAGAGTGTGTTTTCTCTGTCAGCTTCTTAAGGTGTGGAGATGTATTGTCCTCTAGACTATGGATTCTGTGACCCTCCATGGTTGAGGCATGGAGGACCTGGAATTTCCTAGCTTGTATGGAGGCTACCAGGAGAAACACAGTAGCTGGGTCCAGGAGTCTGGCTGCGAGCCACCCTGTCCCATCCCTTAATTTGTCCACGTCCAGGGGGTCGTACAAGTCCAGAATCTGCAAAAGTCAGGAAAGTTATCACAGTACTATATTCAATGATAAAAGGTACACCCATAAGGGTCATCCTAGTTAATTTACGCTATGTAAATTACCTTGATCCAAGGGAAGGGTAGCTCCAATTCATTGTATTAATAACTTTTCACTATCATCAAGGTACCTCACTTGAAGGAGGAAAGTTGTCACAAGGAAAGGAACATTAAACCTTGAACAGACATACCAGCTAACAGAACTGCATGATACTTCAGGCACAGAGCACCCACTCAGCATTTACCCTGTCATAGAGCACCCACTCAGCACTTACCCTGTCATAGAGCACCCACTCAGCATTTACCCTGTCATAGAGCACCCACTCAGCATTACCCTGTCACAAGAGCACCCACTCAGCACTTACCCTGTCATAGAGCACCCACTCAGCATTCCCTGTCAAGCACCTCAGCACTTACCCTGTCATAGAGCACCCACTCAGCATTTACCCTGTCATAGAGCACCCACTCAGCACTTACCCTGTCACAGAGCACCCACTCAGCATTTACCCTGTCATAGAGCACCCACTCAGCACTTACCCTGTCATAGAGCACCCACTCAGCACTTACCCTGTCACAGAGCACCCACTCAGCACTTACCCTGTCACAGAGCACCCACTCAGCACTTACCCTGTCATAGAGCACCCACTCAGCACTTACCCTGTCATAGAGCCACACTCAGCACTTACCCTGTCACAGAGCACCCACTCAGCACTTACCCTGTCAAGAGCACCCACTCAGCACTTACCCTGTCATAGAGCACCCACTCAGCACTTACCCTGTCATAGAGCACCCACTCAGCACTTACCCTGTCACAGAGCACCCACTCAGCACTTACCCTGTCATAGAGCACCCACTCAGCACTTACCCTGTCATAGAGCACCCACTCAGCACTTACCCTGTCACAGAGCACCCACTCAGCACTTACCCTGTCATAGAGCACCCACTCAGCACTTACCCTGTCATAGAGCACCCACTCAGCACTTACCCTGTCACAGAGCACCCACTCAGCACTTACCCTGTCATAGAGCACCCACTCAGCACTTACCCTGTCATAGAGCACCCACTCAGCACTTACCCTGTCAAGAGCACCCACTCAGCACTTACCCTGTCAAGAGCACCCACTCAGCACTTACCCTGTCATAGAGCACCCACTCAGCACTTACCTGTCATCAGAGCACCCACTCAGCACTTACCCTGTCATAGAGCACCCACTCAGCACTTACCCTGTCACAGAGCACCCACTCAGCACTTACCCTGTCATAGAGCACCCACTCAGCACTTACCCTGTCATAGAGCACCCACTCAGCACTTACCCTGTCATAGAGCACCCACTCAGCACTTACCCTGTCAAGAGCACCCACTCAGCACTTACCCTGTCATAGAGCACCCACTCAGCACTTACCCTGTCACAGAGCACCCACTCAGCACTTACCCTGTCATAGAGCACCCACTCAGCACTTACCCTGTCACAGAGCACCCACTCAGCACTTACCCTGTCATAGAGCACCCACTCAGCACTTACCCTGTCACAGAGCACCCACTCAGCACTTACCCTGTCATAGAGCACCCACTCAGCACTTACCCTGTCACTAGAGCACCCACTCAGCACTTACCCTGTCATAGAGCACCCACTCAGCACTTACCCTGTCACAGAGCACCCACTCAGCACTTACCCTGTCATAGAGCACCCACTCAGCACTTACCCTGTCAAGAGCACCCACTCAGCACTTACCCTGTCATAGAGCACCCACTCAGCACTTACCCTGTCAAGAGCACCCACTCAGCACTTACCCTGTCATAGAGCACCCACTCAGCACTTACCCTGTCACAGAGCACCCACTCAGCACTTACCCTGTCATAGAGCACCCACTCAGCACTTACCCTGTCATAGAGCACCCACTCAGCACTTACCCTGTCATAGAGCACCCACTCAGCACTTACCCTGTCACAGAGCACCCACTCAGCACTTACCCTGTCATAGAGCACCCACTCAGCACTTACCCTGTCATCAGAGCACCCACTCAGCACTTACCCTGTCATAGAGCACCCACATCAGCACTTACCCTGTCATAGAGCACCCACTCAGCACTTACCCTGTCATAGAGCACCCACTCAGCACTTACCCTGTCACAGAGCACCCACTCAGCACTTACCCTGTCATAGAGCACCCACTCAGCACTTACCCTGTCATAGAGCACCCACTCAGCACTTACCCTGTCATAGAGCACCCACTCAGCACTTACCCTGTCATAGAGCACCCACTCAGCACTTACCCTGTCATAGAGCACCCACTCAGCACTTACCCTGTCATAGAGCACCCACTCAGCACTTACCCTGTCATAGAGCACCCACTCAGCACTTACCCTGTCATAGAGCACCCACTCAGCACTTACCCTGTCATAGAGCACCCACTCAGCACATTACCCTTTCATAGAGCACCGACTCAGCACTTACCTTCATAGAGCACCACTCGCCTTACCCTTCACAAGCACCCACTCAACACTTACCCTGTCATACGACTACCCACTCAGCAGTTACCCTGTCATCAGACACCCAACTCTGCAGCACTTACCCTGTTATGAGGCACCCACTCAGATCTTACCCTGTCAGAGCCCACTCAGCACTTACCCTGTCATAGAGCACCCACTCAGCACTTACCCTGTCATAGAGCACCCACTCAGCACTTACCCTGTCATAGAGCACCCACTCAGCACTTACCCTGTCATAGAGCACCAACCTGGCAATCAGTTCTTTTCTGCAGAAGCTTCATAAGGGCCATCACTTGTGCCTTAACATCATCAGCATACACCACCAACACTTTCTTCTTCGACTCCCTCAGAGGTGAGTCTCTCACGACCCCACACTGCTGCGAGCCTTTATTGAGGGCCCTTTGCCTTTGGTGTGTCTCCTTCAGGCCCGAATCTGTTGGTCCCCTTCACTATGCTTCAGAGTCTGGTACACGCTGAACACTGAACAAATAAATGAAGGAATTTATTTTATATCTCTTCAGTGCTGTACAAGCCGAGATATTAAGATATCCTTAAATTGAATTGAAAAGTAATAATAATAATGAATGAAAATGAGCTTCACTATTACATTTCAGTGATTTTTTATTGTATTTTCCAATGAGTGTTAAAAGAAACTGTAGAAGACGTCATACACCACAAAGAAAAAGACACCATGCAATCCTACCATCATAAAACAATTACAGGATACCGTTTGACACTCAGCAGGACGGTGTAACTACCCCCAGTGGTAGTGTCTACCAACCAACTACCACAGGACGGTAGTACCTCCCTGGGTGGTTGTCTACCAACCAACTACCACAAAATAAGTCACCATGGGCCCCAAGAAAGCTTCTAGTGCCAACCCTTTGAGAAAAAGGGTGCTAATAACTATTGAAATGAAGAAAGAGATGATTGAAAAGTACGAGAGTGGAGTGCGTGTGTCGGAGCTGGCCAGGTTGTATACGAAACCCCGATCAACCATCGCTACTATAGTGGCCAGGAAAACGGCAATCAAGGAAGCTGTTCTTGCAAAAGGTGCAACTGTGATTACGAAACAGAGACCGCAAGTGTTAGAAGATGTTGAGAGACTGTTATTGGTGTGGATAAATGAAAAACAGATAGCAGGAGATAGCATCTCTCAAGCGATCATATGTGAAAAGGCTAGGAAGTTGCATGACGATTTAATTAGAAAAATACCTGCAACTAGTGGTGATGTGAGTGAATTTAAGGCCAGCAAAGGTTGGTTTGAAAGATTTAAGATTCGTAGTGGCAAACATAGTGTGATTAGGCATGGTGAGGCTGCCAGTTCGGACTATAAAGCAGCTGAAACATATGTGAAGGAATTCAAGGATTACATAGACAGTGAAGACTTGAAACCTGAACAAGTGTTTAATTGCGATGAAACAGGCCTGTTTTGGAAGAAATTGCCAAGCAGGACCTACATTATTCAGGAGGAAAAGGCACTCCCAGGACATAAGCCTATGAAAGACAGGCTTACTCTTTTATTCTGTGCTAACTCTAGTGGTGATTGCAAAGTGAAGCCTTTATTGGTGTATCACTCAAAAACCCCCAGAGTGTTCAGGCAAAAGAATGTCCTCAAGGCTAATTTGTGTGTGCTGTGGAGGGAAAACAGTAAGGCATGGGTCACTAGGGACTTTTTCTATGACTGGTTACACTATGCATTTGCCCCCACTGAGAAAAATTACCTAATTGAAAAGAAATTAGACCTTAAGTGCCTCCTGGTATTAGACAATGCCCCTGGTCATCCTTCAGACTTGGCAGAGCGACTTTCTGGGGACATGAGCTTCATTAAGGTCAAGTTTTTGCCTCCTAATACCACTCCTCTCCTGCAGCCCATGGACCAGCAGGTCATTTCCAACTTCAAGAAACTGTACACAAAAGCTATGTTTCAAAAGTGCTTTGTAGTGACCACAGACACTCGATTGACTCTAAAAGAGTTTTGGAAAGATCACTTTAATGTCCTCAACTGTGCAAACATTATAGGTAAGTTGTGATGAATGGTTTGAAAAACCGACAAGTTGAAGATTGAGACACTTATGCAGCATATAGGTAAGGCTTGGGAGGAAGTGTCTAAGAGGACCTTGAATTCTGCTTGGAAAAAACTGTGGCCAGAATGTGTAGACAAAAGGGATTTTGGGGCTAACCCTGAGAAATGTATGCCAGTTGAGGAATCCATTGTGGCATTGGGGAAGTCCTTGGGATTGGAGGATAGTGGGAGGATGTGAAAGAGTTGGTGGAGGAGGACAATGACGAACTAACCACTGATGAGCTGCAAGATCATCTTCAACAGCAAGAGGCCAGACCTGAGGAAACTGCTTCAGAGGAGGGGAGAGAGAAACTGAGGAAGTTACCTACTTCAAAGATTAAGGAAATGTGTGAAAAGTGGCTTGATGTGCAAACCTTTTTTGATGAAAATCACCCTGACACAGCTACTGCAAGCCGTGTTGACAACCTGTACACTGACAATGTTATGAACCACTTTAAGGAAGTCATAAAGGAACGAGAGGTACAGGCCTCTATGGACAGATATGTTGTGCGACAGAAGTTCAGTTTCTCTCATGCTGGTCCTAGTGGCATTAAAAGAAGAAGGGAAGTAACCCCAGAAAAGGACTTGACACCTTAAGTCCTAATGGAAGGGGATTCCCCTTCTAAACACTAACACCAGCAACACTCTCCCCTCCTTCCATCCCATCAATCATCACCAGATCTTCAATAAAGGTAAGTGTCAGTTTGTGTGTATTAAAATTAATATTTCATGTGGTAAATTTTTTTTTTCATACTTTTGGGTGTCTTGCACGGATTAATTTGATTTCCATTATTTCTTATGGGGAAAATTGATTCGGTTTGCGATAGTTTGGGTTTACGATGAGCTCTCAGGAACGGATTAATATCGCAAACCGGGGGTCCACTGTACCTATAATACACACACACACACAATCACACACCACACAATACACACACACACACACACACACACACACACACAACACACACCACACACCACACACACACACACACACACACACACGTAAGGGACACTACAAGAGAGAGAGGAGAGGATGAACCAGCAAGGCTGGACTTACTATTCACCTTGATTAGTGCAGATATCGAGGACATCACATATGAAAGACCCCTTGGGGCCAGTGACCATGTGGTTTTAAGCTTCGAATACACAGTAGAGCTACAAGTGGAGGGAGAAGCAGGAAGGCCAGGATGAATGAAGCCAAACTACAAGAAAGGGGACTACACAGGAATGAGGAACTACCTGAACGGGGTTCAGTGGGACAGAGAACTGGCAGGGAAGCCAGTTAATGAGATGATGGAATATGTAGCAACAAAATGCAAGGAGGCTGAGGAGAGGTTTGTACCCAAGGGTAACAGGATTAATGAAAAAGCCAGGATGAGCCCATGGTTTACCCAAAGGTGCAGGGGGAAAAAAACCAAGTGTGCTAGGGAATGGAAGAAATATAGAAGGCAAAGGACCCAGGAGAATAAGGAGAACAGTCGTAGAGCCAGAAACGAATATGCACAGATAAGAAGGGAGGCCCAAAGACAATATGAAAATGACATAGCAGCGAAAGCCAAATCTGACCCGAAACTGTTGTACAGCCACATCAGGAGGAAAACAACAGTCAAGGACCAGGTAATCAGGCTAAGGAAGGAAGGAGGAGAGACAACAAGAAATGACCGTGAAGTATGTGAAGAACTCAACAAGAGATTCAAAGAAGTGTTCACAGAGGAGACAGAAGGAGCTCCAGAAAGACGGAGAGGTGGGGCACACCACCATGTGCTGGACACAGTGCACACAACCGAGGAAGAAGTGAAGAGGCTTCTGAGTGAGCTAGATACCTCAAAGGCAATGGGGCCAGATAACATCTCCCCATGGGTATTGAGAGAGGGAGCAGAGGTGCTATGTGTACCCCTAACAACAATATTCAATACATCTATCGAAACAGGGAGATTGCCTGAGGCATGGAAGACAGCAAATGTAGTCCCAATCTTTAAAAAGGAGACAGACATGAAGCATTAAACTACAGACCAGTGTCACTGACATGTATAGTATGCAAAATCATGGAGAAGATTATCAGGAGAAGAGTGGTGGAACACCTAGAAAGGAACGATCTCATCAACAGCAGCCAACATGGTTTCAGGACGGGAAATCCTGTGTCACAAGCCTACTGGAGTTCTATGACATGGTGACAGCAGTAAGACAAGAGAGAGAGGGGTGGATGGATGCATTTTCTGGACTGCAAGAAGGCGTTTGACACAGTTCCACACAAGAGATTGGTGCAAAAACTGGAGGACCAAGCAGGGATAACAGGGAAGGCACTACAATGGATCAGGGAATACTTGTCAGGAAGACAGCAGCGAGTCATGGTACGTGCGAGGTGTCAGAGTGGGCACCTGTGACCAGCGGGGTCCCGCAGGGTCAGTCCTAGGACCAGTGCTGTTTCTGGTATTTGTGAACGACATGACGGAAGGAATAGACTCTGAGGTGTCCCTGTTTGCAGATGACGTGAAGTTGATAGAGAATTCACTTGATCGAAGACCAGGCAGAACTACAAAGGGATCCGGACAGGCTGCAGACCTGGTCCAGCAATTGGCTCCTGGGGTTCAATCCCACCAGTGCAAAGTCATGAAGATTGGGGAAGGGCAAAGAAGACCGCAGACGGAGTACAGTCTAGGGGGCCAGAGACTACAAACCTCACTCAAGGAAAAAGATCTTGGGGTGAGTATAACACCAGGCACATCTCCTGAAGCGCACATCAACCAAATAACTGCTGCAGCATGTGGGCGCCTAGCAAACCTCAGAACAGCATTCCGACATCTTAATAAGGAATCATTCAGGACCCTGTACACCGTGTACGTTAGGCCCATATTGGAGTATGCGGCACCAGTTTGGAACCCACACCTAGCCAAGCATGTAAAGAAACTAGAGAAAATGCAAAGGTTTGCAACAAGACTAGTCCCAGAGTTAAGAGGTATGTCCTATGAGGAGAGGTTAAGGGAAATCAATCTGACGACACTGGAGGACAGGAGAGATAGGGGGGACATGATAACGACTTACAAAATACTGAGAGGAATTGACAAGGTGGACAAAGACAGGATGTCCCAGAGACTGGACACAGCAACACGGGGACACAGTTGGAAGCTGAAGACACAGATGAATCAAAGGGATGTTAGGAAGTATTTCTTCAGCCACAGAGTAGTCAGGAAGTGGAATAGTTTGGGAAGCGATGTAGTGGAGGCAGGATCCATACATAGCTTTAAGCAGAGGTACGATAAAGCTCATGGTTCAGGGAGAGTGACCTAGTAGCGACCAGTGAAGAGGCGGAGCCAGGAGCTTGGACTCGACCCCTGCAACCTCAACTAGGTGAGTACAACTAGGTGAGTACAGCGCACACATGCACACACACACACACACACACACACAGGAACTTGGACTCGATCCCTGCAACCTCGACTAGGTAAGTACACACACACACACACACACACACACACACACACACACACACACACACACATACACACACACACAGCACACACACACAGTGGGCACCTGTGACGAGCGGGGTCCCACAGGGGTCGGTCCTAGGACCAGTGCTATTTTTGGTATATGTGAACGACATGACGGAAGGGTTAGACTCAGAAGTGTCCCTGTTTGCAGATGATGTGAAGTTAATGAGGAGAATTAAATCAGATGAGGACCAGGCAGGACTTCAAAGAAACCTGGACAGACTGGACACCTGGTCCAGCAAATGGCTTCTCGAATTTAATCCTGCCAAATGCAAAGTCATGAAGATAGGGGAAGGGCACAGAAGACCACAGAAAGAGTACAGGCTAGGTGGCCAAAGACTGCAAACCTCACTCAAGGAGAAAGATCTTGGGGTGAGTATAACACCGAGCATGTCTCCGGAAGCACACATCAATCAGATAACTGCTGCAGCATATGGGCGCCTGGCAAACCTGAGAACAGCATTCCGATACCTTAGTAAGGAAGCGTTCAGACACTGTACACCGTGTATGTCAGGCCCATACTGGAGTATGCAGCACCTGTTTGGAACCCGCACTTGATAAAGCACGTCAAGAAACTAGAGAAAGTACAAAGGTTTGCGACAAGGTTAGTTCCAGAGCTAAGGGGAATGTCCTATGAAGAAAGATTAAGGGAAATCGGCCTGACGACACTGGAGGACAGGAGGGTCAGGGGAGACATGATAACGATATATAAAATACTGCGTGGAATAGACAAGGTGGACAAAGACAGGATGTTCCAGGGAGGGGACACAGAAACAAGAGGCCACAATTGGAAGTTGAAGACACAAATGAGTCAGAGAGATATTAGGAAGTATTTCTTCAGTCACAGAGTTGTCAGCAGTGGAATAGCCTAGAAAATGAGGTAGTGGAGGCAGGAACCATACACAGTTTTAAGACGAGGTTTGATAAAGCTCATGGAGCGGGGAGAGAGAGGGCCCAGTAGCAACCGTGAAGAGGCGGGGCCAGGAGCTAAGACTCGACCCCTGCAACCACAAATAGGTGAGTACACACACACACACACAGACACACACACACAGACAGACACACACACACACACAAACAATCGACATGTGCCTAGGACAAATTGGTAACTAACACACACACACACACACACACACACACACATATATATATATATATATATATATATATATATATATATATATTATATATATATATATATATATATATATATATTATATATATATATATATATATGTACATATATACATACATACATACATGTATATAGACAGACATTTCAGGAGGCAGAATAGAGCTTAAGATCTTTCATTTTCTGATATCAGATGCTAAGAGGTCAGTTGACTGCGTTTAGAATGAAGGACATAAGTTATTTTTTTCACCCAGGCTGGACGTGACTTACATGCACGACGAGTGAGCTTCAGAGTTTTGTATAAGTGTAGAGCAGAGAGCACCGCCACCAGGATGCACACCACCACCACCACCACCAACACCACCGTCATTGACAACTGACCTCCCTTAGCCACATCCTGCAGATTATTATTATTATTATTATTATTATTATTATTATTATTATTATTCTAACAACAACTAAGGTAGATTAACAACAACAAAAATATATTCTCAATCATCCATTCAATCATCCATTCAATCATCCATTCAATCATTCATTCAGCTAACTACACTAATACCACCTGGTGGTTCACACTTACACTCACTCACCCATTTAACCATAAACAGAAATATCAATCTCAATCTCAAAATAATGAATCCTAACTAGTCATAAGTTAGCCTGTGATACTCCAATACTGAAACTATGTACTGTGCCAAAACAAAAGCATTCACATTGCTAAACTCATAAACTAGTATTTAGTCACTTAGCCATAATACCAACTTACCTCATAATTTGTAATATTTTAAAATAAAGAATTAAACTAAGTCTACCCGAAATGCCTAGCCATGCTAGGCGTTCTAGTGGTACACTCTGTAATGCCTAGCCATGCTGGGCGTTCTAGTGGTACACTCTGTAATGCCTAGCCATGCTAGGTGTTCTAGTGGTACACTCTGTAATGCCTAGCCATGCTAGGTGTTCTAGTGGTACACTCTGTAATACCTAGCCATGCTAGGTGTTCTAGTGTACACTCTGTAATGCCTAGCCATGCTAGGTGTTCTAGTGGTACACTCTGCAATGCCTAGCCATGCTAGGTGTTTTAGTGGTACACTCTGCAATGCCTAGCCATGCTAGGTGTTCTAGTGGTACACTCTGCAATGCCTAGCCATGCTAGGTGTTCTAGTGGTACACTCTGTAATGCCTAGCCATGCTAGGTGTTCTAGTGGTACACTCTGTAATACCTAGCCATGCTAGGTGTTCTAGTGGTACACTCTGTAATACCTAGCCATGCTAGGTGTTCTAGTGGTACACTCTGTAATGCCTAGCCATGCTAGGTGTTCTAGTGGTACACTCTGTAATACCTAACCATGCTAGGTGTTCAAGTGGTACACTCTGTAATGCCTAGCCATGCTAGGTGTTCCAGTGGTACACTCTGTAATACCTAGCCATGCTAGGTGTTCTAGTGGTACACTCTGTAATGCCTAGCCATGCTAGGTGTTCCAGTGGTACACTCTGTAATGCCTAGCCATGCTAGGTGTTCCAGTGGTACACTCTGTAATACCTAGCCATGCTAGGTGTTCTAGTGGTACACTCTGTAATACCTAGCCATGCTAGGTGTTCTAGTGGTACACTCTGTAATGCCTAGCCATGCTAGGTGCTCTAGTGGTACACTCTGTAATCACTATTTTACTACATGTAAACCACACAATAACCAAATTTCTGTATAAACTCAGCATTGTAATCCTTATAGAGAATAAACTTTGAATTTGAATTTGAATAATAATTATTATGCATTACTGTTGATATTATTATTATTATTATTATTATTATTATTATTATTATTATTGTTATTGTTATTATTATTATTATTATTATTATTATTATTATTATTATTATTATTATTGTTATTATTATTATTATTATTATTATAACAGAAACGCGCTAAACCCGTAGGGAGCACATAGACTCTGTAACAACTACAATACAATTAAAATAAACAGAAAAATTATAATATAAACATTGTATTTTCAACTTTTTTTATAGAAATGTGAATAATGAAATAAAAAAATAATACTATATAGGCTAGGACAATACTAAATTAAATATAAATTGTACTTATATATAATTAAGCCGGCGGAAGGGCTCGGTCAGCTGACTGAAAGCTCCTGCGGCGAGTCAGGAAGCACTTGTCCTGTTTCCTGACAAACATTACCAGGTGTGTATGCCTGAGTAAGACAAATGTTCAACAGCTGGGTATCTTTGTTATTGAAACGTTTCGCCCAAAAGGTAGGTTTCTTCAGTCAATTACAGAGACGCTTGGTTGGTAGCCCACTCAGTTTTAACACCGAGGTCCGTGGATCGATCCCCGGTACGGGTGGGTGTGTTTCCTTAAGACACCTACTGTCAGTAAGTTCACCTAGCAGTAAGTAGGTACCTGGGTGTTAGTCGACTGGTGTGGGTCGCATCCTGGAGACAAAATTAACCTTTCTATATAGTATGTTAATGATCTCAGTTATGGTCTATATAAGTTGTATCAAACCGTTAAGTTGTCAAGCCCTTACAGCTTGATAAAGCTCCTGGAGAGCGAAACGTTGCCACAATAAAATGTCATATTAGTTACACTTGTGTCCTTTTACCTAACATATTCCTGCCTGGTGGTAAAAAGCTTGTGTGCAGTCTTAACCATGGTGTAGTCGACAGGCTTTAAACCCCATTAACTAACTAACCATCTCACTGAACATAAGGGTATATACCGGGATATCTATCAGAGTATATACAATGGGAGTTCACTTTATTCCTTTTAGGGACTGAAGTGTTCTTGACTGATGGTGAAGAATTAAAATATAGCGTTAATGACACCTCGTACAGTCGACAGGCTTCAAACCTAATTAACCAACCACGCATCTTAGTGTATGAAGACTAAAATGGATCTCTTATCACATTGTTACGTAGTGACACGCAGAAAAAAATATTTTATGTCATTTTCCCAGTGGTATACTGAAAGCGGACGTGTGTTATTCCCTGAAAGCGTTTCATACTGTCAGTCAGACAGTGCCAAGGACAGGAGCAGATGAGAGGTGTGTTTAGTTCAGTACGAGACGGGCGGTCATGGGGTGAAGTCATCATGTTTGAGCGGTAGTTGGAGTAGGTGATTTTTTTTATTTTTTTTAGTGTATATCATAGGTGTTTGTGTTTAAGTGTTCTCATGTTTATTTGTAAAGCCCTAGTATGCAGGGGCCTGTGTTTTAGAGAGTATTTAACGTTTCCAATGTAGGCTATGTAGCCTGCAGAAAGGATGGGGGGGGGGTGTCATGGTGCCTCCCTGTTCAGAAATGTTCATTTATTTTGTTTAACTCATTAGTAAAACAATTTCCGGCCACAAAACAGAGCGAGAAACCAACGTCAAAGACCTGGGAGTGATCATGTTGGAGGATCTCACCTTCAAGGACCATAACATTGTATCAATCGCAGCTGCTAGGAAAAGGACTGGATGGATAATGAGAACCTTCAAAACTAGGGAGGCCAAGCCCATGATGACACTCTTCAGGTCACTTGTTCTATCTAGGCTGGAATATTGCTGCACACTAACAGCACCTTTCAAGGCAGGTGAAATTGCTGACCTAGAAAATGTACAGAGAACTTTCACGGCGCGCATAACGGAGATAAAACACCTCAATTACTGGGAGCGCTTGAGGTTCCTAAACCTGTACTCCCTGGAACGCAGGCGGGAGAGATACATGATTATATACACCTGGAAAATCCTAGAGGGACTAGTACCGAACTTGCACACGAAAATCACTCACTACGAAAGCAAAAGACTTGGCAGACGATGCAACATCCCCCCAATGAAAAGCAGGGGTGTCACTAGCACGTTAAGAGACAATACAATAAGTGTCAGGGGCCCGAGACTGTTCAACTGCCTCCCAGCATACATAAGGGGGATTACCAACAGACCCCTGGCAGTCTTCAAGCTGGCACTGGACAAGCACCTAAAGTCGGTACCTGACCAGCCGGGCTGTGGTTCGTACGTTGGTTTGCATGCAGGCAGCAGTAACAGCCTGGTTGATCAGGCTCTGATCTACCAGGAGGCCTGGTCACAGACCGGGCCGCGGGGGCGCTGACCCCCGGAACTCTCTCCAGGTAAACTCCAGTAACAGTGTGCTAGTGAGTTAATATGAACTGGATTGTGGTGGTTTTTTGTAGTAATTATAAGTTGTATATAGTAAGTTACTATTATTATTATATATATTTTTGTATAGGAGAGTTTGTTAGTCATTCCATACACTATATTAATTATTTGCACTCATGCTTCATTATTTAATATGAGTGCATGGTGGCTCAAGGTCTGCTGTCTTTTTTCAGAGTAATTTTATAACCCCTAGACAGCAGTGTGAGCAGGTTTTAGGACCCAGGAACATTTTATTTAAGTTACGACATCAAAGTCGTAACTCGACCCCCGCAACCACAACTAGGTGAGTACATACACACAGCTTTAGGAGTGGGTATGACAGAACCCACGAGAAGCGGCAAGTTAGGAAGCAGCAGGGCCAGGAGCTGAGACTGACCCACTCAGTCACAAACAGGTGAGTACATACAAACTCATTATTCCTATTCAGACGTGTACAAAACAGAATTTAATTATAATTATGTGATTGAACCTAAACCAGACCATCAGCTTACTGTCTGTCACTTGTTCAACAGTACTCAATGACAGTTACAAAGTGCCCAGCGAACACCTAAAGTGCCCAACTGCACTTAACAAAATGCCCAACTGCACTTAACAAAGTGCCCAACTGCACTTAACAAAGTGCTCAGCGAACATTTAACAAGGTGCCCAACTGCACTTAATAAAGTGCCCAGCGACACTTAACAAAACACCCAACTGCACTTAGCATCAAAGTGCCCAGCGACTCTAGCCCCTACAGTGCCCCACTGTTATCAGTGTCGAGAAAACGATCTGGGCGATGCCTTGCTCAACCTAACACCTCCGACCTTCTCCTTGCTTCATTTGTATTTTTCTTTTCTCTCTGTCTATTTTTACATTACTAATAGTTTTTGTAATCTGCTATTACACACACACACACACACACAATTTGTGAGTACAGAGGTATGATAAAGCTCATGGAACAAGGAGAGAGTGGACCTAGTAGCGATCAGTGAAGAGGCGGGACCAGGAGCTATGAATCGACCCCTGCAACCATAATTAGGTGAGTACACACACGACCAAGAGGTATGTGAAGAGATCAACACGAGATTTAAGGAAGAATTTTCAGAGACAGAAAGGACACCAGTGAACAGGAATGGTAAGGTACACCAAGTAATGAACACACTAAAGGAGAAAGTGAAGAGGGTGATAAGTGAAATAGATATCTGAAAGGAGGTGGGAGCGGACATCTCTCCGTGGGTCCAGAGAGAGGG